GGAATCCGGGAAAGACGAGCCACGCTTTTAACGACCGCTCGTGCCACCCCCTTTGCAAACTCACGAAAAGACGCCCCCTAATTTCGAGTGACTTCCCGATTTTCCGGGCGATTTCACCCACCCCCTTGTGTAAATCCCCCGGGCTGCGGAGCACAATGTCGTCGAACGTTCCCTCCCCGCGATTAGGGGTGGTCGATCCAACCTCGTCGAAAGTTCACCCCCTCCGCAAATATAAAATACCTTGCGAAAAGAGGTTCACTTTCCAGAGGATTTAAGAAAACTTCGGGAGGAATCACCGCCCCGAAAGCACCCTTCCACCGTCCTTCCACCCATAAGGGGTTGATTTCAAATTTTGGCACCGCAGAGTTTTGGCTCCCCCCTCTACCCTCGATGATTCTCCAGTCCCGAGGCACCGGGATCGCACTCGTAAATGTAAATGAGCGTAAGTTCCGCATGAATATCGTTAAGTCGCGTCGGGGGTGGCTCGGTTCGAAATTCCACCCCTACGAGTACTTAATGCCGCGCTCGGCCGATTAACGAGTGGCGGCCGAACTATTTTAAGTATACGGAGACCGGGATCCCGATTTTCCTCGGCTTTCCCCTAACACCTTTCCTCTCTCCACCCCCGTGGGGGTGGCTTTTCGCGCGCTTTAAGACGCCCCCGGGTCTCCGCCGAAAACTAAAACCAACCGTGACGCGCGGCGGACCCGTAACTGCGTTACAGTGTACCACTTGTATAAATTAACTCGAATCTCAAGAACTAAGTACCCGGGAGAAGCAAGGCGCTAGTTGACTTGCTAATGCTATTTACTACCCCCGCCAGTGACGCAACGTCGTTGGGCGACGAGAGGGTAGGGGATGGAGAAGGGGTCGCACATTCGCGACTTCTAAGCCTGAGTTGCTCCCTCAGACGCCTTCGAACCACCCTAGGAGGAGATTCCTCTCGCTGCAAGGGATGGAAACGAGAGAGCATTTCTCTGCCGCCATGGACCATTCGGAACCGCGGACGAGGGTGATCTGGGGTCGTTTTCTCGAGTTGAATTTTTTTTTCCCACACGAATTGATTCCCATGAAAAATTGTGCATTATTGCGAAGTCGCGTAATTGGGCAACATTTGAAAGTCGTTAATTCCGCCCGCAAAAGTTGATCGTACGAACTAGAGAATTGGGTCCAGGTTCTGTCTCGAAAAATGGACCGACGTCCATGAGGTATTAATAAATGTAAATTCTGGGGGGAGATTTGGAGCATCTCGCGCCTCCACCCAGAGGGAAACGGGAAGCCTCGCGGATTTCAGCCGCAGTGGTCCGTTATGAACACGGAGGAAGGAAAATTTCATGGAGCGCCACCTCGCTTAGCCGCTTTCGACCCGGCTTTCGAGGCTGATTCGAGCGCTCGTCGCAATGGACCGCGAATTTCTGCGCTTTCGAATTTACGAAAGCTCTCCTCCCTTCTGTCTCTCCGGCCGCGCTTTCGCCCTCGCCCCGACGATACAGTTTTCGGCGGGGACTCGCGAAAAGCTCGCCTCAATACCGCGAGTACCCCTTTCAGAGGCCCATTTTCCGATTTCAGCCGCGATTCACGGCCCGGACGATGTCTCGAGGACGAGGACGAGCCGATTATCCGGATCGCGGACCCTCGGCTCCAGGAAACTCCGACCCACTCGAGACCTCCTCGAACCGGGCTTTTTCCTCGACGATGCGAGCCGGAAGGTGCACCCTGCACCCTCCTCGAGTCCAAGGATCTCGCCGGGCCCCTTATTCCCTCGCAAATTTACATTTCAACTTGACGTCCTTATTTCCATTCGAAGCGGCCTCATCAGCAGGTATTCGCACGTGTTTAGATAGATACGTAAACACCCTGCGCTAAATCCCCTGCCTCTGCGTATAAATTAAACCGCGGATTTTTCCCTGTCCATCTCTCTTCGAAAAAAAAAAACTGCATGAACTCGAGAACCCTGTCCCTCTTTTTTATTTTTCATTTTTTTCGAATACTTTGTCCCGGAACGAACCCCCAAAATGCAGCGGTGGAAACCCAATCCTGAAACTCGACTCGGCGAGCTTCTACGGGGCGAAGACCGAAAGTTACGCATGAAGTCAGGTGCATCGTGTTGCAGTTGTTTGGAAATCTCTTCGATGCATCTGCGGGAGCCTGCCAGGGCAGGTGCATCCCCGGGTTCTCTCGATGCACGTTCATGTGCCCTGGTAAACGGGGAAGCACCGAACGTGCTCGATGTGCGGAAACGCGTAGGGCACCCTCGTGCATACACGCGGTTCCGCGGGCAAACTGCGCGGGATGGTACGCCCTAGGTACGCGGCGAATTACCGCGTTCGACGAAACGCCGTTCTCGTTGCGGGGCTCCCCGAGTGCGGAGCCAATATCCAAACGCAAATTTACGAGGGGTGAAGAAAATCACCGACAGCCGCACGCACCTACCAGGAAATTCGCCCACGAGGCCGCGAAAACGCGGAACGGATTCGCGGAACCGATCGATTCGCTTTCCGCGTCCGAAACGCGAGATCTTGCGATCTCGTTTACTACGGATTATTCGGCGGTTCCGCCCCCTCTTTTCCAACTCTGAGCAATTCGAGATTCGTTCTGTCATCTCCAAATTTGCATAATTTATTTCCTAATTAATTTTATTTTCGTCTCCGCAAACGAGAGAGAATATTCCCGGCCCATTTTCAAGTGTTCACCGTTTGTTGCGACAAGTGAAGTTTCTCGTTACGACCGTGAATTATTTACCGCGTGTAGGTGATGCCTTCAGAGTGGGTAATTAGAAAATAAGTGGAGTTTCGTTGATTTTTTCATCACCGATGGCCAAGGGGGTGCTTTACTTTGCGCTCGCGATGGGAAACTCTAATCCGAAGTTTCCGTGGGCTCATTTTTACCCTGGGATTTTCCGAGGTCTCTGATCTTAGTTTACCGCGAGTTCCAGCTCTTCTTGCTTTAACCTTAGCGTCTCGTCCGGGCGTCGTTTCAGCCATTCGAGAGGCCGGAGTAAAATCGAGACCTAGAGGAAAAACGGAAGAAGGGGAAGAACCAGTCACAGAGGAAACCGGGGAAAGAAAGGGAGAGGACGAAGTTTCGACCGGAGCCGCGTTAAAACTTGAACGAACTCGCGGACTTTCTTGGATCTTGATAGTTATGACTCGCCGTAAAAAATGGTCAACTGTAAACTCGAAAGAAATAAGTCGAAGGAACTCGGGACCCCGGGCACTTCGACCGCCCCTGGGCATTCCCTCGTTTGGAGCCGATCTTCGATTTACAGCCTTAACCCCCGCCACCCCCTGGGCGGGGGGAGGAAACTAGAAACGCGCACTTCGGGCCGGCCATTCCCCGGAGAAATATTTTATTGCGAGGCCATTCCTCCCTTTTGATTCGGCAAAGGCTAGGACACCGCCCCGGGGTGCAACGAAACGAAATTCCGCACGAACATTTCCGCTCGGAATCAAACGAAATCCATCGCGCGCGTAACCTGCGGAAATTCCGCGAGGACTTTTCGGAGCCTCGTCTCGGAAGGATGCAAAAAGCGTCGCCCGCGATCGACGGCAATCGACAGGGGTTGGAAAAACACGGAGACGGCTCCATTCCGCGTGTTACTGGTCGCGGTTGGAGAATTGTTCCCTGTTAGCGATGAATATGCACGGGACATACTCCTAGGTCGGGAGTAATTGGAGACAAGAGAGCGTCATTTCCGGGGTTTTCGCGTTTCCGCGTGCAAGAATCGACCCTCCCGGCGGAATACGTTAACGATCCGCTACGGCGAACCGTTCGGGGGGGGGGGGGGTCAAAGAAAACGTTGCGGAAAGCCGCAGCGATCGAACGGAGGGATCCTGGTTCCGCGAAGACGTCCGACCACTTGTCACGGCGCGGAATAATATTTTCCTTCCTCTCGTCCGCGGAAAGGTGAGCGGAAAGGTCTCTGGGAGTTTTCCGCGATTCTCCCCACGGCAGAAAATAAATGCGGTGGACTTCTTCGCGAGCGAGTAATCATCCCCAATATGGCGCTCAAATTGCGCCCGACGACGCGTCTGCAGCAAGGGGTGAGTCTCGCGATTATAATGCTCGGATGGCTCGTAATTATATAGTGTATTCACGGTTAGGAGGTGGAGGGATGTTAGGTCGAAGAGGGAGGGCGAGTGGGTCGCCTTAACAGCCCTAGAGACGCTCGGCATATAGAATAATGGCGCGCGGGGGTTGGGTTAGTCCCTGTTAGCAAGACGAGGGTGCACAATGTATGCAAACAGTGTAACGTCCCGGGATCCCCTGGAAATGCTCAAATTACTGCACTTCGAATCCACCGGATGGCCCGATCGGCCCCGGGCCACGTGACGTCGACCTAACTTCCCTCGATTCCTCGAAAGGCAGATTTCTCGATGATTATTAAGTGGGCTCGACTCGGTACCTACCCTAAGCAATTTTTATTGAATTCTTGCTTACCTCAGAATGCTCCTCGGCCACCAGGCTCTGGGTTTTTGGAGGGAACATGACCATCGTCGATTTATTCATACGATTCCAGGACTACTCTAAGGGGGTTAGGTCGATTCTTGATAATCTACCCAGGGGACAAAAATGGGAGCGATTAAGAAACTGGATAAGATTGCAGGAGCAAGGCGGGACCCTGGTTTTATGGTGACTTCGAGTTCGCGGAGCTCCACCTCGCCGGCAATTAATTTCCACCGGATACTCACCCTTCGTGGCGTCCGCCGGGACTCGATTCGAAGTTCAGGAAGTACATGGATCCGATGATCCACTCGAGGATAGGTGGGCAGGTCTCGGGCCTGGGGAAGAATTGAGCCCCTGTAATCGGTGGCCCGTGAGCTCGATCTCCAGGAAGCGATTCCGCTCACGTAGCCGCGGAATTCTTCGGGGTCCCGCTTCTCCCGAGGACAGGAAGGTTCAAAACGGCGCGACGACTACCAGAGATCGGGCGACTTGGTAGTGTAAAACAGACGAAATGCATTTATTCCCGTATTCGCCTCCCGGAGCTACCCCTTCCTCCCCGGCCGCTCCGAGAGCCTCGGTCGACGTACAGATTTTTTCGTGAATTCGGACGTAACACGGCTACCCTAGGTCAGACTTAGGCCTATGTACAATATCTTTGATCTCTGTACAAAAATTAATCTCGTATAAACGGTTAAACTTACGCGCCCCCTAGGCATCCCCCTCGTTCCTCCACCCTCGAATCCGCGGAGGCTTCTCGAGGGCGGATCCGATTTCCGCTCGAGTCGCACTCCTGGAGGAGCCTCCTAGCTTTGTTAGTTTGTACAGTGAATGGAAAGAGTCCAGAAATTCTCAAGCCCAAGACGCACGACTACAGGATACACCGGGAACGCCAAATTTCGACGCACTTTGCGGACGTTTCCCGATTTCCTCGGAGAAGCTTAGCTTCTCCGTCGAGATTTTTTGTATGCACTATTCCGCAACGTGAGTCGAAACCTGGCAGATTTTCGTAACTCTTTTAGGGAGCCTTTGTTTCGTCTCCTTGCCCAACGTGGGGTATCCTGCCGAGGTCGTCTCGATCCAGGATTGGATTAACGCGTCCCAAGGGCCGATTACTGCCCTTGGCCCTGAGGTTTTTCCAGACCCAGGTCCTGGGGGACTCCCTTGGGATTATATACAGCTTTCTTGTATCCTATTGGCTCGCGTCACCACTTCCGGCTGGTGGAACTTCCCGTGGGCCGACAGGGAAGACGACACCGGCCTCTGCATCGACGCTGGCAGTCCTTTGCCCGATCTCTGGAGGCTGTAATACACCTGCAACAAAAGGGGACGATCTTTTAAGTCAGACCGTAAATGGGGCCAATTATGGATTGCGACGAAAATGTGTCGACGAATCGACGAAACCCTTTTAAGCGGTCCAAGTCCTAACTCGACCGTGCTAATTGGAAACGACGTTGCGTTTTTGAATCAGGAATCGACGTTTCCGAAAATGCACGGAATCGCGTCCCGGGAGTGCGGATCCCTCGATCTAAAATATTCATCCACTCGGCGAAACTCCGTTCCTCCGCCAAAGTGAAACGAAACCCACTCGGGCCCGAGTTACGCGCATCGAGGCTGCCCCTTCGAATTATCGAGAAAACTTCAAGTAATTAAACTTACGGGAGCGTAGATAACCCAGGGTTGCGCTAAACCGGAAAAGTTAAAGTGGAAGACTTCCGCGCATTAAAATCCGCCTCCCTCCAAGGAGGGAACCTCGGATTATTTAAAATATTCGAGGGAATCGTGCCGGCTGAACGCGGCAACCAATGCGGCCATTGCTCTTCGATTCTTCCCTGGATCTGGATGGCAAGATTTCCAGGACGAGGAGCATTTCTCCAAACACCCCAAAAAGAGGCGTCAAACGCGAGGTCGAGTATCGATCGCCGGTCCGAAACATTTTAAACTATCATCATTCGCAACGACTCGGAGCGGCGCGCGTCCTGGGGACATTTTCGATTTTCCAGGAAAATCGCAAACACGCGGGATGGGACCCTGTGTAAAGAAAAGCGCGAAATACAACGCTCCCGGGGAAATTTCCCGAGGTTTGGTTGTTTGTCCGGGCATTAAAAATACCCGCTTTTCCAATCGGTCGTCGAAAGCTCGAGTTATTAAAAATGTTCCCTGGGGGTTGGTAGGGAACACTCAGGCTGGTTACGCTCGACGATAAAGGAGGGCTTTATCCCTAGGAATTCGATTGAAATTTTTTAGGGCCCTGATTCTTTATAACGCTAATTATTTCGCTCCCCGATTTTTCGTTGACTGATCGCGTCGATATCTCGCGCTCGCGGTAAATTGGAAAAGTTGGGGTGGATGTGACTTCGGCATTAAGATCCGGTTGCGATGGGTTCTTGCGAAACTCGAATTGCTTAAGACATTCGCAAGGGGTTCTTACCAGAAGCCAATTTAGGTGGAGGGTCGCTATTCGATTTTCGGGTGGAATCGATGGCAGTTACGCTATTTCCGGATCGTCTCCGATATTCATAATTGGCGAAGGGTTAATGCGATTCGGATTTTCTACTCCTCGATTTTCCGCGATAATCGCGGGTGCACGATGGAATTAAAGAAGAAAATCTCTAACGATCCCGTCGGGTGATAACGACCAAGTTATTTCGGCAAATTTAGGGCGAATAAATTTGCGGGATCGTCGGGCATCGAATCAGCCGGTTTTCGAATCAGGGACTGCCCTCGATAAATCGACTGCAGCAAGTATTAATCCAGGATCGAATTGCTTTTACGTTTTGGTTGTTGCGCTGGTTGTAGGCGTCCATCGCCATCTGCTTGAAGTCGGCCATCGTCGGTGGATGGCTGTAGGTGTTTGGCTGTGCGATGTGGTTGCGAGAATAATCGACCGTAGGAGAGGTCGAATGATCCTCCAGCCTCGGATCGGGATGCAGATCCAAATTTGGCTGGACGATCGGCTTCTTCTCCGGGGAGGAGTCCTCCCCGCGCTCTTTCCTTCTCCTCTGAGGTGGAGTTTTGTACACGGGGGTGTACGTCAAGGGCCTCCTCTCTGAAAACACATTTTTTTTTCTTCTTCATTGCGTCGAGGCGCAAGAAAAAAATTCACCGTCAGCCATTATCGACTAAAATCCAGTCGCCGAAGTCGAGTTGCACGCTTCGGTACGGTTTAAACACCGAAGGGGTCGCAGTCGAGAGTCGCGATTTATCGTCGTTTCGAGCCGAAGGAATTGCCCTATCCCTCCACCATTAAATGACTCGAATTCGATATTGCACCGGGTCTTCGCCCTGGCTGACACGAACCATCCTGGATTACCAAGATGCGCATTAATGGCGCGCGTCAAATTACGGGAGCATCGGATGGATCGATTCGGTACTCGGGGTCGATCGGATGGATCGATTCCCGTTTCGAGGGTCGACGTTCCTGGGGACTCACCGTACTCGTTCGGGATGATGTCGGGGTCGATGTCGTCCACCGCTTGCTTGGTCTGGGGATGCACAGGTGTCGTGGCACCTGCATGGGGTGGCTCGCACACGATCGGTGCGTGTTTTGGACTTCCTCCTCGAGTGTTCGAGTGCTTCCGGTAAAGAGCCGCCAAAATCCCGGCCACGGCCAGAGCCAGCAACGTGGCGGTGGCAGCGAGACCCAGCAACAAGGGACTCAGGACTGCCGCGTCGGTATTTCCTGAAAATTGACGACCGATGTGCATTAATACGCGATACTCTTTACGCAAGCGATTTGCTTTTATACCAGTTTGAAAATGGATAATTGGGGACCGAGAAATCGAAGCCTCGGAGCCTGCGATCGATTTTAAGCGATATCCACCGGTGGAACGACAGACACCCTCTTTGCTCCAATTCACCCCGACGAGCCCACTCGGGTCCCGGTCAGGCAAAAACTTGCCGAACCAGCTTCCGCTGAATAAACAGGATATTAATTAAAGCCGCTCCTCATTCCGGAAGGGAACCCCCGCGCCTCGGCTATCTCGGGCTCGATTTCGCCGTCGAGCCGCCATTGTTAACACGGCGCGCGTTCTTCCCGCTTAAAGTCCCTCCAGATTATTAAGCGCCGCGGATTTCGTCCGGGAAATTAGGGATAATAACCCGATAAAAATCACCCTCGCTTCCGCACCCTGGAAATTGTTACCGTCGCCGGAAGGCCGGGATTCCAAAATAGCGGCCACCGCCGCGCCGGATTCCGCGAGCATATTCGAGAGCGACAAATGCCTTCGCAATCAGGGCAGTTCACGCAACTATGACGTCGCTATTAAAGTTCGGACACGCGCATAAACGGATGCGTGGTCTCGCCGGCGGGTCGCGATATGCGGAATATCCGCGCGTTGTGTGCGGAGGGCCGTCTGCGTCGCGTACACCCACGATTTTACAGGCGGGGTGGAGGCGGCGTGCTCCGCCGCAAGGAGAATATAATTACATCAATTAACGCACACACCCCGCACACCCTGGCCGACCCGTTGACGGAATCGCCCCGTCTCCGCCACCCCTCGCCGTAAACTCGTACACATCAGGGCCCAGACTCGTCTTGTTGACCCTGCGGTTCCGCCGACCGTACCTTGAATTCCCTCGACTTCTCGGGATTTTCCTTGAATTTCCAGCGACAATGAGGGAGGGGGAGCAAACGTATTTGCGAATTTACCTTGACTCTGAGTTTTTCGTCCGGGGCCACCCCAGACATGACTCGCGAACAATGTCCCTACCCCTTTATCCCGGTCCACCCCCGGACACGTCTTATATCTACGGATGCGGAAACGCGTCTTTGGGGTGAGCCGAAGAAGAAACTTCGACCCCCGTGCCGAGCAGTTGCGGAAACAATCGCAACTTTGGAGACCCCCTCGCGTGCAAGGGTCAAGCGGCAGAAATTGGAGTTCTGCTTGGATTGTTTAAGACGACGACCTCGGGGGTGGAAGTTCTGGGCACGGGACCGGCGGTTAGGGTGGACGGCGAACTCTTGCAAGGCTTGGGGCATTTAGCAACCCTGGGTTCCCCCTCATGAATTATGGAGGATATAGTTCCTACTTTCCGGAGGCATCGTACACAAGAAATCAATTTCTTCCGAAGCTGCGGAAGAATTTGTATTTTTTTTTTATGCGCCTTTTAAGAGGTGCGCATGGCTGGCACCCCCACCCTTTACCAAATTCAAATTTCTTTAGCTTATCGTTTTGTGCTCTTTATGTGCTACGCGCTACCTGCACTTGTTATAAAGGGGGAAGAAAAGAGGGGATTTCGATCTCTGTGGGGGCAAGGCGAGACGATCGGCAGGAGAGTCGTTCCCATGGCCCCCCACGAAGCGTTCTCCAAACTGCAGGGCGTTTCGGAGAATAATCCACTAGCCTAGCGGCAACAATGGCGCAGTTCCCCGAAGCCTGCAAGCGTTGCCATTCCTAATTTGCCGTTTACGAGCGTGACCGTGCGACGGTATATTGGATAATTAGCGGGAAATGGCCGCGATGTCTCTTGACTCGTGTACGACGCGAAGAGGTGTGGTCTACGAGACCAGCCTCCGGAGTTCGTCGATCTCATCGAGACGCCCGATCGCGTCCAATCGATCGATCCGTCGAACCGGGGCGAGGGCTCCAAGTGGAGAAAAGTGCATCCTCTTAATACTCGTTAAAGTTTGATTAGACTTTGATGGCCGACAGGCGAGCAGACCAATTTAAAGTCCGCTCGGAGTAAAGAAGGGTAACGCGAGGCTAAGGAGACGCTACCCCCCGTAGGTGCAAGAATCGGGGGCAGCTCTTCGGGAGTGGATTTGCCCAGTTTGCGCCGGGTGTTTTGCGTGTAATTTAACTTTTCCACCATAAACCACGGCACCAGGGACGGGGGCTGACCCCTGCAGATGCCGCACCGTCCTCCAGCCTCCACCTCGTCTCCGGCCACGGCCGAGGAGAGCCGCCATTGTTCGCGCTTTATCATCCGCTCGGCGATATCGCGCAATAACGATAAAGGCCTCGTGAACGCTGGGAATTACGAGCTCCACGGTGGCCCCGAGAAGAGGAAGGAGCCAAAAGGGGACCTCGACTCTTGATAAATCTCCCGAATCGGCGATCGACCCCTTGCGACTCCCTTATATATTTTTTTTTTCTTTCATTTTCTTTCAACCTTTTCTATTTTCTGTCAGAAGGAGCGGGTTCGAAAAAAGTCGCCGATGAGGAAGAGGGGCCTGGACGACCCCAGAGTGCATCCCTTGATCCAGGGTAGTTCCAATTAACGTCGCGTTCGCGGTCCCCTCCGGACAACGCCTCCCCCTTGATTACCCTCGTCGACGCGATCGACGATCGATCACGACACTCGCGACACCCCATTACTTATCCGGAATAGTCTTCCGGGCGATACGACCGCCGACGGACTCGGGGGAGGGGGCGATCGCGGCCGATCTTCACCCCCGCAAGCAATTCGCCCTAAATCGAGCCAATTCCGCGAAAACCCGAAACCAATCTCGTAAGAATTGCATGCTAAGGCGTCGAGCATAGATCCCGCGAGCATCCCCGAGGCGACCTTGTCCGGGATGTTGCGAGACCCCGGCTTCTCGTTCTTACCCTTTAACCTCCCGCGAGGTTCGCTTCCGCGTCCTCACCTTCGGGGGAGCCCTTAAAAATGGCGCCCTCCCGTCTCCCCTTCGGGGATGGGGAACAAAGCGGCCAGAACGCGTTCTGGGTTCCGAGGGAAAAGGAAGCGCGCCGGGGTTAATTTTCCTAATGGATTTCCTACGGGTCGCCCAATGAGAGATTACGGAATGGCCGGAGTTTTCTTCCGAGAGAGCCGGGAGGCTGACGCGCCTCGACCTTCTTTCCCTCGCTTCCTTATGTCTCGGAATCACTGTAATCTCTCACGGAGAGGACGGAGCAACCCGGATGGCGGCCGAGGGAGAGAGAAAGAAGGGGTACCGAGAGTTACGCCACCCTTGGGCCTCCTAGCCCATCTTGGGATGCCTTGACGATGCCTGAAGAGATCGAACCCCGGACGTTCGGAATCCTCCCAGGGAACATATTTCAAAAATGCAAATGGAGGCTTAAACGGCATCCTAAGTGCGTTTAGGGGCTCTTCCGAATTTAGCCGCGCGCTTGCCTAGAACTCCCAGGGGTAATAACTCTCGCGGCGGTCTCGATAACGTTGAAAATAATGCTTTAGATATTAATAAGGGTCCCGAAGGTCCTTCGACCTTGTCCCGGATTACGGGGAAGGTGTAATATCCTGGAGGTTGCGAATTCGGCGACCCCCGAGGCTGCTCAGTGCTCTTTGTGGCGAATCGGGACTGGAGAGATTCGGTCGCCGAATCAATATTTGCACCCCAGGCACCCTCCTCCGTCGCCGTTCCTGGCCCTCGATCCCCTGCGAGTCAGGTGGAGGCGCTCGCCCCTCTGGAGGGGGCCGACGGAAGCTGGCTCGGCGCGTTGGAAATCGCTGGTAAACTGAATTAACCCTCTGTTGACCCGCGACCGTATGTTACCAATGACTTTCCATTATGTACTTCGGGCTGCCGGAGTCCATTATAGCCGACCCCTGCGTCCCCCTCCGGTCTCGCGCCGAGCAATCCGCGTCGCGAGGAATGCCCGAGGTTGACTCGGCGCATTCGTTGCGTTCCCTCCTCGGGCCCTTGCCGGAAACTATTTTCCATTTCGTCGATCGCTGCATCGGTACGTGCCCCGGACGCGTTAAGTCAATATTAACCCCGGGTCGCGACCAACACCAAACGGGGACCATCCGTTTGACGGGACGCCAGTCGCGCGGAAGCACCAAAGAAAAGATTCCCCGAAATCCCCGCCAATCGTTAAAAAATAGGAACATCGACCCGACGTGAAAGTAGGCGGACAATTGCCGCGTTACAAATACATTAAGCGGTACACCCCGCGTAAACTGTACAAAAGCACGCACAACCGATGAGGGGTTGACGCCACGTCCAAGCGTCATCCGAGTCCGACACCTCGTACCTATGTACTTTACAATGTACTTTCAAGCGCAGCATATCCCGGGAATTTATATTCTCAAGTGGGAGCAATATCCCTCGCAATTCGCCGCACTTCTGGCATATTAATCGACACGTGACGGCGGGCATATAGCGCCCCGCCTAAAGGGCCGCCGCCGCCGCCGCAGGCGAGGACCGCGAGAATCCTGCATCTCCTACTTTGGTACGTACTCTCCGGCAGGGCACATCAACGGGAATTTATATTCTCAAGTGGGAGCAATATTCCTGGCGATTCGCCGCACTTCTCGCATTGAAATGCAGGACCAAGATGGCGGTCGGGTCCCCAGGAGGAGCTCCGAGGTCGGCAAGTCGTCCTTTCCAGGCTTATTCCTTCCCACTCCGGGCACGAGGACCCACCCGATAGGCCCTGGATCGGCAATCGGAGTGCCGGGGAAAAGACGAAGTCCCCAGGGATGAGAAATCACGTGCCAGAGCGAGTAATTGCTCGCGAGTCTCGCGGGCGCGTGACGCGAAAGTCCGATCGAGAGCGCGACTCTCGTCCACGGGGGCGAATCGATCTAGATTCGCCGCCATGTTGGGTGCCCCCCTCGCCCCCCCCCCTCTCCGGAGGCCCTCTAGGTGTTCGTTGATTGAGAGTAATCTGTTTTGTTAATTGCAAGGTCCGCAGAGCCCGATACCTGCGGTTGCGTTGTGCTGCGTTCAGCGTTACATGCGCCCCGGCCCCCGGCGGTGGGGCACAGTGGTTAACCGACTAATTGCAATACTGACGCGCCCGCTCGGACTATTTGCGCAATTGCGATCATATCCCCCGACCGCGGGTATCACGCTCGAGAAGCTGCACCAGAACCGCGAGACCTGGACCCATGATTGGCCCCCCAAGAAATTCCGCACGGCCTCTGCTTCCGGTTTTCCACGGACGGACGTTACGGCGGGACGGATAGGCGCTTTTTGTCTTCCCCTTTGCTTCGCTCTTCGAATTTTTTTTCCCCTTTCTTCTTTTTGCTCGGGATGTTTGTCGTTCGGATTCGTACACTCGCGGGAGAGGCTTCGGCGGTCGTCCCGGAAAGTGCTCGCAGTCGGGGTAGGGTGGAAAGGGCTTTTAAAATTATTGCCAAAATAATATCGGAGCTCATATCCGAGTTCCGGGAGGAGCTGGCCAGGATTCCGAGCGCCCCGAGCCGGGCGGAGTTATTCACCGGCTTTGGAAACCGCAGCAAAGTCAGTCTGAGCTCCGTTTCGAGAACGGATGCGAAAAAAGGCATTCATATTCTTCGTATCAAAAGGACCGCATATTCGAGCCAGGCCCCGGATATTGTGACGAGCGGTAATCCCTAATCCATTATCGAAGACGCCTGAGATATAAATAAAAAACTATAGGAAAATAAAGGACCTCTTTTAAATCCACCGGTCCAAATATTTGGAACGCCGATTCGGCTTGGCCTTTCGATGCCTAGGTGGTAATTATGACGAATCCCGGGACCAATTTCAAGGCATTAAATGGAGTGTCGAAAGGTAATGGGCATTCTGACGCAGGTCGAGACGTCAATCGACCAGACGTCGCTCCGGGCTGTGACGAATTTCGCGGTCCCACCTGGTGGTTCTCCCAGATTTCTTCCTCCACGAACACACGGAGGATTCATGGTTAATGAATTCTCCTCCGCAAGACTGCCGAACCTGCAGCCGATCGATACCTCGCCGCGGCTCACCGCTACCAAATGCGAAATCGATTCTCGCCAGGAAGCAACGGCGCGGAGGATTCAATTTGCAGGGAGAACCTCTCCTACCCCCGCATGCATCACGAGTTTAACCCTTGACTAGCATCGCGAGAGGGTTTCAAGCCAAATACTAGGACCCGGGGAGAAAAGAAGCGGACTCACCGGTGGTGTACATCGCGACCCCCTTCAGGGTCACCGGCTCCAGGACCGTAGGTTCCGATCTGCCCTTGGCGTTGACGGCGTACAGATAGAGTCTGTAGCTCCTCCCGGTGGAGAGTCCCCCCACGTCGAAAAGTGCCCCATTGGAGCCGGCAGGGATGGTCTCGTTGCGCGTAACGGTCCCACCCTCGACGTCTTCGGCGAGGACCTCCAGCTGGTAGCTGTGGACCGGCAAGCCTCCGTCGTATCCGTCGAGGCAACGGACGGTGAGGCCGCTGCCCGACTTCGAGCCCAGCTCCTCCAGCTCCGAGGCCGATGACATCTCCGTGGCACTGCAATTGTGCAGCGGATACGGCCGGCCAGCTGCTATAACCTGCGACCAAAGGAAATGGAACCAGAAGATCCGATCAGTTCCGGGTCATTGATCTAATGGGGGAGGCAGGGCGGGAAGCGTCGACTCGGATCCGCGGACCCATTCTTCGGGGTGGATCCGTCGGTGGGGTGCATCGATCCCCGTGTGAAAAACGCCCGCCGCGGTTCGGGACCCTGAAGAGGTCGACCCCTGACCCCGGTCCCGGGACTGCCATTTAAATCCTGACTGCGACTGCTCGGCAGTAAAAACTCCGAGCTTACGCTTTCCGCGGGGCTTTACGAGCACGCCGAAGCGCACGCGTTTCGACTATATTTTCTCTAGGGGTAGTTAAATATTCAAGGAGCGAAGCTTCGTCTCATCCGTTAACGAGAGCCTCTCGGATGGGCCGAGAGCGAGCAAGGGGGACGCGGGCTCTCCCTCGTGGATGGAGTCGTAAGGCGGTCGCGTATCCTAGAAGTGGAGAATTTCACTCCGTATTGACCGTGCCAGAGCCATCGAGGCGGCCAAAGCGAGTTAATTCCGCGGACACAAAAAAATCTGACCGTCATCGAGGGGGAATGCGAATGCGTACAAGGCAAGGTGAGGCAGAACAAACGTCTTGTACTCGGATACGTCCTCGTAAAGGAACAAAATCGTCCGAGGCAATGAACGGCATTCGAACACCCTTGGTCAAGGTGTCGAATGATCCGCATTTCGATTGATCGTCCACCCTCGTACGTTCACTTTGCCTCGTCCACGTCCGTACTCAGATGTATACTCAGCGGATCCCTAGCGACTTGCCCCGGCGCTCCTCTCGTCGGTTTTTTCGCTTTTCCAATCTGCGGCCCGGCCGACTCGGGATTCGTGCGAAGCACCCCGGAAGGCCCCTCGAATCGCGTTCCCCGAAGTCCGGAGCCGATCGATCGATCGGCGCCGTTAATCACGCGATCTCTCGGCGCATATTTCGGGCAGGCACGGATTAAATAACGGCCGGCTAAATTAACGGGTAATAAGAGGGTGCCCGAAAAGTATAAGCAACGTCGTCGGCGCCGACAGGGGGTCGCCGACCCCGGGCGGAGTACACCCGGGGTTCGTACCTGGAACAGGCAGGGTGCTCGTTGCCTGCCGACCTGGTTGCTGGCCCAGCACGCCACCGTTCCGTAATCCATTTCCGTGGTCGGGGTGTAGTTGAGTCGGGAGCCGTGGAACTGCTGGTACTCCTTGAGGCTGTCCGCAGCGCTGGGGGTCCCTGCAGCCAGGGCGTGAGAGTAACGAGACTGCGGCACCTCCACCAGGTCCCCGGAGTTGTTGAAGGTCCAGTGGAAAGTCAAAGGAGGAGGCCGGCTCTCGACCGAGCACATCAGGGACACCGTCTCCTGCTTCAGGGCGCCCACCACCACCTCGCTCTTCCCTTCTTTGCAGATCGGCGCGTCTGCAAATCCGCAAAAGGAAACCGAGTCTTTACAAAAACACTCGCGGATACATCGATTGGGCCATGTCGCGGATATATAAGAACTCGATGGGTGTCGGGTGGGTGCAACAATTATTTCTCTCATATGAACTGTCATCATTCCAATGAAATATTGCGTCCAAATTATTGGAATTTATTTAAATTCAATAATTACTGTTTGCGTCATGGGGCCACGAGGCATCGATTGGGTCGCTGCATGGATATACAAGCTGGAAAAATTGTTAGGGGGAAATCGAGAGGAAGGAAACGTAGCGTTTGACGGGTGTCGGGTCGGAACAATTGGCAGGGTCTACGGCAGTGCCGGGAATCGTTCAAACGATCGGCAAAGAGCCTCTGTCGAGGCGGCTATCGGGTTTTTAATCGAATCCGGAAAAAGAGGCGGATGATGCGCCAAAAGTAGACCATCTCGTGCGGCTCGAGTTATCCGGCTAAATAGCAAACTTTGATGGAGGATAATTACCTGGAGCAGAGCCGCGCCAAGGGATAACAATAGAAATCGGATAATTATGCGGTATCGATGGCAAATATTTGAGGGCGATGAACTGGATTTTTCCCTCGCCCCAGAAATTATTTCATGTCGTAAATAATAATCTCAAAAGTGATAAAAATCCGCTCAGGTGTTCATCGAGTTGAAATTCCATCGAATCGCCCATTATAAAATCGCACCGTAAACCTGGAATCGATAACGAGTATTCGGAGTGTTTCGATCGATTCGACTTCTCTCTCGGCCAAAAATCGACTGCGGTCGGAGGGGAACCAGAGAGGCCGGGAAAACGGAGAAAAATCCGGTAGCCCGATGGCGCGGCAAGTCTCGCCTTAATTTCGAGATTAATCGCGGCCGGGGGATAAAAAAGCGTAAAAACGGATAAACGGAGGCGAGCGGAAGTTTTTCGCGCGGCCACGCTGCTCGCGATTTCCCGGCGCACCGGCAATAATTCCGCGCAACTCGGGGGGAAATGAAAAAAAAAAAGGCAGGAAAAAAGGGGGGTTGAAGGTGGCGCGGCGAAGAGGAAAAATAAGAGAAAGAGGGGAAAAGAAAACGAAAGGGGAAAAACGAAGGCGTCCCTGGCCATAATCGCATTTCCCTCATCCGCTCGCACCTTCGAGGGAAAATGTACCCGCTATATCCGCCTCCACGTGGCCGACATCGGCGCTTATTGTTCCTCCCCAGTCCTCGGCCTCTCCCCGTTCTCGTATGATTAAACCGACTTTCCAAGTACGAGGTCAGAGGTCGCGAGCGCGCATCCGAGCTGGCTCCGACGATTTCGTCGCTATTTAACCACCACCCGTCCCGTTTCCGTAATAACTCCGAACCGGTAATTCCTATGCGGCTATTTTTCCTGGGAACCCTTTAATTATAATTATCAGCGAGCGCGCAGCCTCGAGTATATATTACCCAGTCATGTACGAAGGCCTCGAAGCGCGGGCTTTTGGGAAGATAACAAGCTCCGCGGGAAATATTTCCCAGGAATCCCGCGAATTTGGACTCGGGAGGATCTTCGTCCCTTGAGTCAGGATTTAAACCGCAGGTTTCGTCGGGGAGGGTAAGGGAACGAGCGGAATCAAGGGGCGAAATAAATAGTCAAGAGGCAGTCGGCGCGACACGGGGGCACGAGTTTCCCCCTACTCGTATGATTGATTTTAACCCCCGATCGAACACGGGGCGGAATGAAAGGCGAATAAGCCCGGGGGCGATAATAAAGGATCGCCGGGAGAAATCTAAATCCAGAGCGGAGAAAGATTTCCCGCCGGTCCAATCGCAGCCTTCATGACAGATCAGAACTGGCCCTTTCCAGGCCTGACGAGTTTGATCGATCGCCCGAAATTCCGGCATCCCAGGGGCGTCCTCCCCCCTTCGCTTCCCTCCTTCGTTTCCCTCCTTTAGCCCCGGAAACGTCACGAGTAGATTCGCCCCATGATTTACGGCGGGAAATCGCGATCCCACTCCCGATGGCCGGCGCAGCCTTCGATTCTTCGCGACATTCAATCAGCGCCCCTAATCAGCGGATAACGAGCTTCTTAAGGCAGTTCGCGGACGCGCCGGTGAGATCGAAGTCGTCTTCCGCTGCCACGACAGGGTCGGGCTTAAAATCCGACCCGGCCCGACCCGACCTGGTCACGGTCGGCGACGCACGGCGTGGCTTAGCGCATTGCCGGGCCGGCGTTCGGCCACGCATGAATATTCAAACTCGCTTTACATACATTGAATATGCATCGCAGTCCTTCCTTCCCACTTAGGTCATTTACAAGATGCAGATCTGCCCGGAGGTACTACCATTCTAATAGAATAACCCGTGCTCGGTGTTTCGCCGAAACCCTTCTGTCTCCCCTTCTTGCATCTCCCCCTTCGGTTGCATCTTTCAGGGCAACGCCATCTCCTACAGTCTTCGGCAAGGGTCCTGCACTCCCTAGGGTCCTTGTACTTGCAACTCCTGTGCTGCCATCGATTAAGTGATTACCGAAGACTCGCCCCGGGAACCTCCGAATTAGCGAATCGGCGTTGAGTTAACTCTCCCTAATTTCCCTAGCTCGACCCGCCCTGTCGATGAATTTCTAATGAATTTCTTCGACCGGAATTACCCGACTCTTCGAGGGTGAGCCTCCCTCAGGGATGTTTCGCGGTTCGGCCAGTTTGGGTATTTCTAATTGCAAGGACCTCCTCTAATTGCCTGGGGACCTCGCCTCGCGAGCGGAGTCCCGAAATTCGGGATCGGGAGATCATCCGCCCTGAATCTTTAATCCCTTCGAGTGCATCTTTCTGAGCGATTTCCGGCAAGCGTCAGCTGGTAACCCAGTCGTGCTTCGTTGCGGAAATTTTGGAAATACTGATAATTCATTATTTTCACATCTTACACATGACTTGAAGGGGGACAGGGTTGCTGGCTGTCTTTCCTTCGCTATTGGCAGCCAGGCAGGTGTACTCCCCCGCGGAGTTCCGCGTGACGCCCTGAAGAACCAACGAATGATCGGTTAGGACGACCCCAGCCGTGGCGTTGTTCTTCAGCTCCTTACCCTGCTCAACAAAGAGAAACGCGATTCCAGCCTCGACCAGTCGATCTTTCAGAGGTATCTTCAACTTACGTCCTTGAACCAGGCGAGCTTGTAGGCCTTGGGATTGGCTTTGACGATGCACTCGAAGTAGACATCGTCGCCTTCCTTGATGTCCTCGGGGTTCAACGTGACACCCATCTTCAGGGTGACGATCGGCTGGTACTGGACATCCAGCCTCCACTTGTCTTCCAGGGCACTGTCCGGGATGGCCGGATTTTCGGCCCTGCACTTCAAGTTCTTTCCGTCATCCTCTATCGCCGGGATGAAGGTGAGGATGCTGAGGCTCTGGTTGTTCTCTGGCGGAAACTGCAACAAGGCATCGCGTAACTTCCTTAAAAATCCTCTAAACCTCGCTGTACGAAAATGCAATCCATCCTATCCCAGATATCCGGCTAAAAATGGCGAAAATGGCGAACCTCGCAGAAATGGCATTTTATCGGGTCCAAACGCATCGGTCGTAATTAAGCGAGCCGCACTTTTGCGCGCAGAAGGCAGAAAAAAAAAATGGTCTTCGTCTCGTTCGTTCGTTACCAGGGCTCGTTTTTGCCGGGAGAGAGAAAGGACGGGACGGAAAGGAGGGACCGAATGAAAGCTCGCGCTCCGCGCGTCATTTTAATGACAGTCCGACAGGAATACATCGGCAGCCGTATCCGTATCGGTATCGCGCGCGCTGAATGGAAGTAATGGATCGTCAGGATGAATGTCGCGTTACGCATGAATCACGGGACTACTCCTTCCCCTGGCCCGGGCCGTGCCCTCTTTATTTGCTTCCGTTCGTTTCGACTGCGATGCATCGCTGCATCGCAGCATCCCAGGTGCATCTCCCGAGCGCACTCCGGTGCATCCGCTCTTGAATCTTACGGATCTCCCGCGAGGGGCTCGAAATGCACTCGAGCGAATTCATTTCCCGGACAAAGGGCTGTTTCGACGGGGCGCTTCGTTTCCTCCCCCTAATTTTTCCCGCAATTTCTGCTTACCTCCCGTTAATGCAACCCCCATCCCCCCCGGGGAGCGACCCACGTATCGGAAATTTATTTCCAATAACCGACGACGGAGGTGCATTCAAACTCGCAAAATCGAGGGATTCTTGAGAGATCCTTTCTGCGAAAGAGAACGGATCCGGGGAGGAATCGGTGGAAAAAGAGGAAAATTTGGAGGTTTCCCTGCGACGCATCTGTATACTTTCGCCGGCAGTACTCCAGGGAACTCGTTTGAAACTGCATCGATTTTTCTTTCCACGTTCATTTAAGGACTGCTTCGATTCTTACGGCGCTTCCTTTTTCGCGGATTTGGTGAAACGCTTCCAGAAAAGCCCTTTCGTTGGGTCCTCGTGCGAGGACCTTCTGGCTCCTCGAATCCCACTATCCTCTCGAATACTTTACACGGGAACGGACGTGCCCGGTGTTAATGGGAAACCTAAGCGGACCTTGGAAGTCCTGCGTCCGGGATGCAAACGGGGAAGCGGGGCGGAAAGAAAAAACTAAAAAGAGGGGAGGGATTTGCCGGTTCTCGTATCCCCGAAGCGACCAACTTTTCTACTTCCCGCTGGTCTCCACTTTCTTTGGCGCACCGGGAGAATGATGCCCGAGTGCAGGTCTCGGTGACGAGGGGCTCCTGCAAAGGAGTAAAAGCAAAATAATTGCATCCTCCAACTTCCAGGCAAAGCCTGGGTCCATCGCGACTTAAACGCTCGGCGGGACTCGAAGGGATGCTGCAGGAGATCTAGGGCTGGAGAGGAAAGGGGACGTCGGAATCGCGGCTCGAATTTACTTTAGGAAGATGCTGCAAGAGCCGTGGGAACTCTTGATCAAGGGGTGGATCCACTTGTTCTGGACTTTTCAGATTTCTTCCAAATCTTCCTCCCCTCCTTGCTTCAGCGAGCATTCCCGAGGATCCTCCAGTTCCAAGACGAGAATTTTTTTTTAGCACGTGTATAAACTTAATAAAATGAATTTTTTTTTTTCTAACAAAAAATCGGAGCAATCGGAAGTCACCGGGGTGGATCGAGGTCTGGTATCGAGGTACGTTCGCGTCTACCGGCGGAACCTACGGAGAGAGTGCGGTCAGGTCGAAGCGGACTTTGGGCAGAAATCGCAGGCGCGTTTGTCCGCTCGCGGAGAGGCGGCGAATTGATTGATTGCGAGCGGAAAAATATCGGGGGCGAACTTTTCGTTCGGCTGAAACGGGGATTCCTTTGACGAGCAGCCATCTCTCAGGGGAGGCCGCTCGCCGAGTACATTAACGGGGTCGAATCGATCTTCCATCGACGTCGCGGAACGACCAGAGATTTATTCCGCCCCGGAAACGACTGGCGGCCGATAATCGCAGGGAAGGGCGGCGAATCTTAGAGCGGTGGAAATCGCTCCCGGAGCGAGCCTAGGAAAAGTGAGGCCATTGCTCTGCAGATCTAACAACGGCTCCGGGAGAATAGACACGCGCTCTCGAGCGGATCTTCCGCGAGATGGAAAACCACTCTGGCCGAAAACCATTTTCTCCGTTTCCGTTCAAAAATCGGACACTGCTGTCCCTTGGCGCCCTCCCTGCTCGGCTCCATCGCAACGGTTGGAGGTTACGGCCGAGCTGGTCCGCCGTGGACGCGCCGAAATTCCGCGAGCAGCTCCCCTTTGAACCCGTCACGGTGTTTGCGCGGAGGATTAACTCGGTTTCCCCGGGAAAAAGTTCGTGATTGATACGTTTGGCCGAAAGAGACCGTTCTGGGTGGGTGAAATCGAGCCGATGGAGAAAAGGGAGCTTTTACCTCGTCCCTGGCAAATGCACCGGTCGATCTAATAACGCCAGTTCTGCCCAAATCACAGCTCAGACCGTAGAAAAGGGGACTCGGAGAAATGAAAAACCACTCACGTTTTGTACCATCTTTTTGATCTGCCTATTGGCCTTCCACCAGGTGATCAGCGCCTCCGGACGGGACCCGGTCGTCCGGCACTCCACGTCGTAGGTCTTATCAGCGGACACCCGCGCCTCTTTCGTCAGGATCTGCACTATCAGCGGTCGAACTGGAAAACAAATTTGAACCATTTCTTATTTCAATTCCTTGGGTCACGATTCAAGCATTGAGGGGTTGAAAAGGACGTTCAGAGGGGTTCATCACCCCACATGAATAGTTTCCGGCTGAAGGCAATCGTTTGCTCGGCTGAACTCGTGCTTGCGTATCAGTTGTACGTAATCTGTCATAGAAACGGATTGTAGGCACTCGCGAAACTAAACTGTAGAGCACAACTGATAATCGCATGTGTACGCCAGGTGGAGACAACTTGGTTGCTCTACATTCGGTCGAGCAATGTTCGTCCGGAATCGTCTAAGGTGCTTCGACGTTGCGGAAGCACCGCTTATAAACCCACCTCGACACGACGGAGCGATACATCTTAATTATTTAATTTCTGGGCCAAGGGGGGATGGAAAGGGAGGCGCGGTCGACGAGGGTGAAGAGACGTCGGCGTCGACGTCGACGTCAACCTGGCATGCTCCTTTATGGCCGCGCGCCTCGCGTCACGCACGCTTTGCGAAAACCCCGAGAACCGGTGCCACCTTAATTACCGTCTTTCTCGGCACGTTCGTTAATTGCCATTAACCCGAGTGAAATCAATTTCTTGCGATCGCAACTAGCCAAGAAACGCCGGGAAATTTGCCAGAAGTCCTCCGCAAACAAAATCCCCAAAATAGCTCGACGATATTTCCTGACAATTTTCAGCATATCTTGAGAAAAAAAAAAAAAAAAGTTGGTCGACTCAAACAGATACACATTGCCGCTACAAAATCCTGCGATCGAATACGCCCAAAGAAATGTCAGAGTGAACGAAATTAGTTTACATCAAAAGATACATGTATCTGTTTCAGTCGACTAATCGTATTTTCTCAGTGTATCGTGTTTGACGTCCTGTATTAATTATGAATAAATCGCGCCATCCAGCATTTATTCGAACTCTCCTAGGATGGGAAAAAGGTGCTTCGAAAAGTAATCTCATTCGGATGAAATGGATTTCGGAGAGTGGCATTCCTCGGTCAAAGGTTCCCGGGCCAATGGGCGAAACTCATCCCCCGGTAGCACTCTCGCCCCGGTGCACGAATAAGCACGAAAGTCGAGGAGCAGGAAGGGAGGTGGGCACGCATCACGCGATCCTCTGATCCGTCTTCCCACGAGGCGTTACCCTATCTGCCACGACGAATCTCGCGGTCCCCGTCGACGTCGGAATCGCGGCGTCGACGCAGCGGCACGTGAGCGTCACGACGCGGTCCGCGACGGCGAAGGGCACACCCCCGACACCGTTTCCTTACCGGGTCAAATCACTAGGGGGTGCTTAAGGTGTTATGAAAGTCTCACATATACCAAAAAGTCAAAATACAAAACTTTACTCCAAACTGAGTGGCCCCGAATAATTTTTTAATCTAACATCTAATCGCGTGTTAAAGTTTCAAATTATTCGATACACCCAGTTCGGAGAAGTTTCATAAACGAGGGCACTTCGATGCCACTTTCGCATCACCTTAATCGTCCCAACCCCTCGCCAACATAATTCGTCCAAAGCGTTTCCCGTGTTCCCTCCTTGAAATTTGTCTACGGGCGAAATACCGAGGATCCTTCGAACCGCTCGTCGAATCGTTGATAAATGGGGATGATAAAGCGAAGATAAGAGACTGCCTAGTCTCACGTCGGGCGCGAACTCGCCGACGTTCCTCGGCTCGAAAGTGACGAGGTGGATTCGGAGGTCACCGGCTGTTGGTCGATAAAGTCCTCCGAGAGGGTCGCACGATCGCGTGAATAATTGCCCCTCGGTGGTTACGTCGCGTTGGGGGTGTGTCAATGCTCGCCAGTGGAGGGCTAATCGCACGTGATAAAGATCGCTCATCGGTTCCCTCGGCGTACTTTGTAGAATGGAGCCGAAGAACTCGACCCGAGCGATGTCGGGAATTTTAAGTCGACGATATCTCGCGAGGTTCGAGTCGATACCGTTTGAGGTACTTAGACAGGTATGGGAACGATCGTTTCAACGATTGATGGGACATCGATAACCGGGACTTACGATTAACGTCGAGAATCAGAAGCCTGGTCTGAGGTGGAACCATGTTGGTGTTGCTCGCCTGGCAGACCAGCCGAGCCTTGAGGTGTTGCCGGCCGATGTTGGGGTAGGACAGGTGGTTCACCGTCATCCCCGTGTCGATCTTGTAGTGATAAGACTCGTCTATCACGGTGTTCTCCAGGTACCAGATCAGCCTGGGGGGCGGCTTGCCACCCCGCACCTCGCAGATCAGGTTCACGTCGCTGCCCTCGTTGTAGGGTTCCTCTATCCTCGACACGTCCCTCGTGGTCCCGTCCAAGATTACAGGCCTATCCGGGGGAACTGCAACAAACGGACGACATTCGATACTCAGGCAGCTCCTGTTTCGCCGGTAACTCGCAAGGTTCCGTTTGACTATCGGACAAACGTAACTTGGAACGGAGTCCGAACGGCAATGACGAGGTTGGACTTGGGACGTGATAGATAAAGTTAGGAAGATGACTTTCCAAGGTTCTGGGAAGTTCGTTCGGACCCGGAGGTCGATCTTACCGATGACGGTGAGGTTGATCTTCTGGTTCCTCGTCGGGCTGTTCTCGAAGTCCACCCGACACCTGTAGGTGCCCTCGTCCTCGATCTCGAGTCTGTCTATGCTGAGGTGCGCCGGTTTGGTGGCAGTGATGAAGTAGGCCCTGGCCCCCAACGCCATCGGCGAGGACCATTGCCTAGCGTTGCTGAACTGCCGGCGGCCTCTGGAGTCGAAGCTGCGAACAGAATGAGCCGTCTCTAAATACCATGACGAGAGAAACGAAAAAACTCCCCCAAACGAGCTCGTCGATGGGGTCGAACCAGATCCCCAGGTTTAATTCCATCTCCTCGCGGATTCGCTCATCCCTGGACCCGTCGGGGAGGTTAGAGGTTCCTCTCGACGCCTGGGAGTAATTTCACGAAAATCCCGAGGACTCTTCGAGCGGTCTCGATCGATCCTTGAGTGCGGCGTTTTGAGTGGGTTTTTGGAAACGACACCTCCAGAGAATACCGAATTCCGAATTATTCCGACTGGAAAGAGGGCTTCTACGGTGTCACCTAGGGAGCCATCACCGTGCGTGATTGCATATTAAGCATCCGGAGGGCGAAGGAGACGGCCGACCGACTAAAAGTTAAATTGCGTTCCGCAACTGCTCCGAGCGCGGATTTCTGTCGGTGACTGAGTGCTCCCAAAGCCCCCTTCTTCAGGGGCGTTCACCTTGAAGTACGATTTAATTCTTCTACTTCGCACTTCCACCCTGCCTCTCGTATGCCCGTCTCGAGGCTCCCTCTAATTTCTCCTTCCCTTATTTCCCCCGAAAGGGGTCTCTGGTCGTCCGTGTTCACCACGTGGTTCCGGTTCCTCCTGATTTCTTCTCGGTTCCCTAGTTCCCTCTAGTCTCCTCCGCTTCCGCGCTGTATCGACGCTCCGGATTGAATGCTACCTGCGAACGACTGCCGTGATTTATCGCCGCATTGTAAATCGCGCTGCAATTACTTTTTTCCAGATCACCCCGTGCGGCAGGACCATAACGTACGGCGTTTCTTTTACAGCCGTGAGGAGCTCATTAGAGGAACCATGCGCCGACCGATATTTATGGTTCAACCCACCATAAATACCGCATCGAGTGATATACCCACCATTCGGGCGCATTACGACTGTGCATTATTCCGCCGAAGTTACAACGCAGGGTGCGTAAAAAGGATTCACTGGAGTCTTCCATCCATGGTTCAGAGCACTCAATTTTTCCTATGATTTCTAGTAAAATTTCACCGTGATATATCCAATGATTAGTCTCTTCGCCGTTCAGAAATTAAGAACACCGGTATCTCTCTCGTTTGCACCGATGAAGACCCCTGGATGGTTCAAGGGAGCCGTGTAATCCCGATCGCCTTTTCGCGTTAATTTACAAGTAGTGGCTCGTTTTGCAACGATAAATACATTCGCGCGGCGAGTGGGGCATAAATCTGAAGTTTTATGCCGTCGCACGGATTAAACCGGCCTTTACGAGGGCGGCGCTTCGGGGGCGATGCATCGAGGCGCGCACATATCTTACACCTTATTACATTTCTTAAATATTACCCGTTGGATACTAACCTACCCGTAGGATGTGTCGGGCCATTCTATATGAAAATTTCACGGGCCAAGGAAGCGGAACGCCGCCACGGGTTAAATGAAGTTCCGAGAGGTGCGACGAATTCGGCCCGGCGAGCCGCACAAATTATCGCGCAACCTGTTTTCTGTATGCACTCGTTTCTTTTAATCTATTTTTTTAACTACCAATTCTTGAATCGATTCAGCCGAACGATCACCTTTTAATAATTATAATTATTTTTTTTTTAATATTTAATAATTATCCTTGTGAAATGGATACTCCGCATAAATTGAGGAACGATTGCATTTCTTTGGTACAATGAATGTTCTTCCTCGGTGTAGGTACAAATCCTGGATATTCACCTGTAAATGGGTTCTCCAACGTCCTCTTTGAACCACAAGACCATGTTGATCCCGTCGTTGGTGTCCGACTGGATGTCGCAAGGAAGCTGGGCCTTCTTCCCAGCAACCCCGCTGACGGAGACGACTGGGACTGCAACATGCCAGAGAACGGAAAATGAGACAACCTCGAAGGGGTAACCCGGAGATTCTTATTTCACTTTTAGCCTCGATTTTTCTCGAGAGGTCCTTCGGTCGTTCCGGGTCAATGACGCGAGGCGTAAAATCGGCGTTGCACTTTAGGGCCGCGTCGGGAGCGTGTAAAGCCACTCTTTCCTCGGGGTCCATCGAGCTAATAATCGGCGCCATTAACAGGGAAATTGCCTGTATTACAGGAGGCGAGACTCGTTCGAGAGGATCCCGGGATCGAAAGGAGGAGGAAGATCGCTCCTCCCGAGGCGGACCGAGGATTAAGGCGACGTCAAGCGAGCGGAACTTAAGGGTGACATTTGCGGAGCAATTAAGCGGGTCTTGAAGCCGCGGTTAAGACCTGGGGATGGCAATTGGGAGGGCTGCTCGTGTCGCGGAGGCCTTGTCGCCCGATTAGATTTACATGTAGATGGAGTTATCACGACTTAATCATGACTTAACGAGATCATCGCGACGAGGCTCCTCCCACGCGGCGGACGTCCCACGAGGCGCGGCACATGGCCGCGAGACCGGCCGAATTATCGGGAATTATCGGGAATAATCGAATCGCTCCGAGGTATCGATCCCTCCGTACGCTTAAAAGGAGACCACTTATCCAAATTGTGATCGGGAGTCGGGCTCGGATTCCGCGGCAGGCGAATTACCTCTTATCGGCGCTTATCTCGCGCCGACTCGCCGAAGATTTCGCGAGGTGAGAGAACTTTGAGCGTTGCGTCGCGAAATTGGTAGTTTCGTGTAAACGAGGCATTAAAGAGGCCTTAAAACTCGAGTCGCGATATTTCGTCGGTCCGTCCTGGACGGTTCGAGTCGGCCTTAAGGGGACGTGAAAGTGGTATCCGAGGAGTCTCTCGTTTATGAGACTTTTCTCCGAACTGGGTGCACCGAATCGTTTCAAACTTTACAACGTGAGTACGGAAGCTACGAGGAAGGTCCCGACACCCATAAAACTTTATTTTTCATAAAAATACCTAAAAACGTCTATAAACAAATTAAAAAAAAATTGGAAATTGAAGTGTCGAAACCTTCCTTACAGCCTCCATAATCACGTAGTAACGTTTGAAACGATTCGGTCCACCCAGTTCGGAGAAAAGTTTCATAAACGAGCCCTCTTTGACGCCACTTTCACATCACCTTAAAGCAGCACCCGGCAGTTCCTTCGGGCATCCTCGGCCGCGGGGAATATTAAGAATCCCACTAATTGGAGCCCGGCATCGAGGTGCCCCGGCACCTAGGAACTGTGAACAAAGTCTTGAAAAGTCTTTCTGCTTCTTAATGCCTCGGTAAGAGTTTAATCCGGATTTTTCTTGGATTTACGTCGTCGAAAACTCGAGATGTAAGGACTCGGACTTGGACCGCCCCTTCTGCTTCCGCGTCGGATTTAAGAGTCGTCTAATTTAGACGCTTTTCACCCTCGAAGGGCTTCTTCTTTAATCGGCGCCAGTGCGTTAATTCGGCCGCGGATTTGCTCGTCGACTTGAACTTTTCGCCCCCGGAGATAATAAATTTTAGACACGCTCTTACACCCCTCGGTGAATTATTCCCGGATTCACCGGACGTGAAAATCGTCCCGCGATTCGCCGCTTAAAACAGCATCCCGTGAAAGCGGAAGTTGGTCCCGACTCCTTCGGGAGTTCCTGGCGGAATCGGGGCACGTAAGAGGGGAGAGGGCGAGAGACCGATGCCTTGCCGGAGATACGAGAGGGAGAGAGATGGAGGACTCGCGAGTTATCGCGACATGGCAGATTATAAGTTCCCGCAACTCGAGGACAACGGACGAGGGCGCGCTCGACTCGCGGAACAATTTCATTTAACACGAGAAAAATAGCGGTTAAACTCCGCGAGCGAGGGTGTTCGTAAACTTTCCGAGGGGCTCTGGAAAAAGGAGAACCTAGGGGAATTGTCAAGAAGTGGCGGAACTGGATATTGGAACCGGAAACCTCGAACTTGGTAACGGCGTCGTGGTTACCGAAATTAGCGAAAATTTATAGCGAGACGTGACGTGAAAAACAATAACAAAATATTCATCTTCGCACTGTTACACATGTATGTGTAATAAATTTAATTAACAGGGTATGTAAAGTCAGGAGTATCTCCTGGTAATCCATTGAAATTTAATAAGCATTTCTCTGCCGTGGTCCCGCTACGTTTTTTTGGAAAGTTCGCGGAGAAGTTGGCGGATCGCTTTCCCAGCCGTTCTACGGCTTTTCCGTTCAGAAAATCCCGGAAGTCTCTCTTTTTCTCCGCTATCTGCCCCCTCTGAAAGCGAGCGCCAAAGTTTCTTCGAGAAGTGGATCGGGATCGTTTCTCCAGTCGGAGGGCCGATTCCGCATCAGCGTCGGGTCAATTCCGGAGAAGCGATTGGTCTCGATCATAGGCGAGCTCGGAACTTCGGAATTTTGGCCCCAGTCCTCTGAGGAGCGAATTGGTCGCAGACCGACCATCGTTCTGAAGCGAATCGAGACGCGATTCAATCGAGAAACTTTCTGCCGAGCGTCACTTTCCGCTGGATTCAACGCGGCCGATCCGCAGCGTCCTCTCCGGGACCAGCTGATCTCTTCCGCCTTCCAGCTTCCGACTGCGAGAATAATTCCTTTCGACGCTTAGCCGAGTATTCACTTGGAAATCAGGGAAAACGATTTCTTTCTTTAAGAGCCAATTGTCTTTGATTTCATACGATAGCCAATAATGCGATTCGGTAACAAGTGACGTTTGGTCTTAAAATCGGGAGAGCGGTTCGGTGATTTCCACATGATTTCGAGCATCGACATTTCGAGGAACGTCCTCCTCGTTCTTCACGAACAGATGCAAACTTCGGAAGGGATGAAAAAAGTTTGAAGAACTCAAAATCCGAGGAACACGCGAAGTCGGGAACAGTCGACCCTGGCAAACGACACCATTCCAATCTGCGGAAACGCGGAATCCGGGAAGACGCGGACTCTTCAGGGTTGGGACGAAGTTCGAGACGTCGAAAGCACGAGGAGAGGTCCTCGTCCCGAAGGAGTCCTCGAGAAAATCCATGGACAGGGCGAGAGGACTTTGGAGGGTCATCCTTGTTATTCGCGGTCCCGGATTTCGCTCGTCAAAATGTTTTCCGACCTCCTCCGCGAAACCTCCACCCTAGAGAAGTCGACTTCCGACTACCAATTACCGATCGTTAACGAAACCTCGAAAGTGACCTTCACCCAAGGGACCTTCCGGGCCAATCTCCGGTCCTAAATGGACACGCGACAGTTCCCGAGCAGAGGAAGACCTCACCTCGCGTGCGGGGAATTGTCTGGACCGAGGACTCCAGGGAAAGAAGAGACTCCGAAGTTCCTCCCGGGAACCTCCCAGGAGGCGGCCAGGATGAGATTCGCGACTGCCTCCTGGAATCTGACTTTGTAAATGGCCATTTGCCTTTCAAGACTCGGCCGAGGAGAGATTTTCGAGACTCGTCCTCTCTCCGGGGATTTAAATCGGCCCCGAAGGCAGCAGGGCGCCGATTTGTCAGAGGCTGGCCGAGAGGACGAAGAAATCATTAGCCGCGTGGGTGGACGCGTTAAGCGGCGCCTCTGAAAGAGCCAGGCAAGACTTTCAGGCATTGTCTCCTTTTAGAATGTCGCTGCTCGATCCTTTCCTGGCGCGCCATTGAGTCCGACACTTCAACGAGTCGAGGGCCGCTCCGCTGTTTCTTCAGGGTCGACGACGACGAGCCCTTCTCTAAGCCAAGGAACCGTTTAACTTTTTTTCGGGAACAACCTGCACGACGTCCATCAATAGGCCCAAATACGTTTTCTCGACTTGAAAAAAAAAATGCACTTCTAGCGATCCATGGATGTCATTTCGATGGTACCTTCGTACTTCAAGGTTCGGACTTGGACGGCGCTCCCGGGTATTCAGCCATGGAAGGCCTTCGGGATTACCGAAGATTGATCGTTCTCGCCTCTCGTTAGAAATCCGGAGATTAATAAGCCGGACCCGGGTACTCGGAGTTCCCGAAGTCATTACAGTCCAGCAGCTCGGAGAAGGGGTCGACCTGGAGAAACGATCCGGATCGTCCAGGAACTCGAACGCGACGTCTCCTCACCGAGTCCCGTGGGTTGGGAAATGCGGTCCAGGAAGCTGGGAAGCGTTCCCAAGACTGGGACCAAATTCTCGAGTTTATACAAATTATCTTCGCCAAGTCGCATCATTGGTCAACATTTGAATGTCTCATACGAAACTGTCAGTTTTGCATGTGAAAGTTGATCGAATCAGCTGTCAGGAGTCTCAACGCGAGTTTCTTCCAATCGCAGCCGAAGAGTCGAGAGTTCGCCCGATGACAAATTGGGAGGAACTAATTAGAATCCTTAACTTCGCGGAATAGGTGCGAGTGGAAGAGGCGCAGAAAGGAAGGGTGGTCCGCAACGTTCCCCGTTACAGTCGAAATTCAGGTCGACACCCAGACACGGAATCGGCAGCCGATTCGTTAACCCCATCAGAGAGCACTTCCCGCTCTCGATCGGCTCTCCGGCTCGCGGAGTATCGACGTATCGATCTCCGTTCCCGTCGAAGTCCCGGCGGAGGGATTGCGCAAAATGGTGCGCGCACCGCTCGTTACTCCACCGAGGGGCGGGGGGCAAAGAGAGGCGTAAAAATGAAAATAATGGAAAAGGCATCTTCGAAGTCCGAATGCAGCGCCAATAACGGAACGGGGCCACGTAAGCTCGCCGGTTCGCCTAGCTTAATTTACGAGCCTCGCCTATTTACTACGCCGGTAATTGCGGTGGCAATTACATCGCGATTTATTGTAATTACAACTTTTACTGGCGGGCCTCCCCCGCGCTGTCCTCCTCGTTCCCTTCCCCGGCCAGTTCACCCCCTTTCCCGTTTTACAGCTCTCCAGTCTCCGGAGACATTAATCTCGCTTATGAGTTACGATATACAGCTCGTTCCAGGTTTACGGGTCCCTGCTGACGGTCCCAG